GCTTGGGGAGTGGGGACCCTCAGCATCACCATTTCCATCAGCCTCTCCCCACGTAGACACACATTTAGATAAAACGCGGAGCCTGAGCGGCAGTGCAGCTCCCACCCTCCAACCACACGCTTCCTAGACCAGCGGTTCCGGTTCTTAACCTGTGGGTTGTGACCGCTTTGAGGGTTGAACGACCCTTTCACAGGGGTCGCCTAAGACCATCGGAAAACACATCTATAATTACATATTGTTTTTGTGATTAATCACTATGCTTTAATTATGTTCAATTTGTAACAATGAAAAGACATCCTGCATATCAGATATTTACATGACGATTCATAACTAGCAAAATGACAGTTATGAAGTAGCAACGAAAATAATTTTATGGTTGGGGGTCACCACCACATGAGGAACTGTATGAAAGGGTCACGGCATGAGGAAGGTTGAGAACCACTGTTCTAGATAGTCCCGCGACCACGGATGGCCACCCCATGTACCGCTTGCCCCTCACACCTGAGCTGGGGCAGTTCTCCACTGTGAACAGACAGCAGCCCAGAGAGGGGAAACGACTTGCCCACAGCCACACGCCTGGTCCACAGTCTGGCCCCCAGCCAGCCTCCCTGTGGTCCCTGGCTCTCTGGGGCAGGGGTGGGGCACTGTGCTTCCGGTGGGGCCCAGGGCCAGGGCAGGGGCCAGTGCAAGGCCCTGCAGGCCCATCTGCTGAGAGTGGCTTCCTGAGGCAGGCCTGGGGGAGGCTCGCCCTCAGCCATAGGCCGCTCAGGAGCCCAGGAGGTGGCTGGGACAGACCCCGAGGCTGCCTGTGTCTGAGCCACTCCCAGGCTCAGGGACCTCTGCTCTGGGGTTCAGAAGGCCGGGGTTCCTGGCCACTCCCCTGCTCTGGGCTCCACCCCCCCTCTGTGGCAGCCCTCTTATCTGAACCACCATTTTCTTCCTGCTCGCCTCAGAAATATAGCGGAGGTTATATTTTCCATTGGACTTTAGAGAGTAGAAGAGAGGGAGGGAAGGGGAGAGAGAAACATCCATGTGAGACACTGATTGGTTGCCTCCCACTCTCTCCTGAGCAGGGCCAGGGATCAGGCCTGCGATCCAGGTACGTGCCCTTGACTGGGAATCGAATCCTCGACCTTTCGGTACACGGGCCAACACTCAGCACACCAGACAGAGCCTGACAGTTTCTTTTTCTCATCATCAAGGCCCTTCCCAGAGGCCTACATCAAGTCCACCGCCCTCTGGCCTTTCCTGTCCCC